CAGACACTTAACCAAGAGAATGAAACAAAGTTTTTGCGTCTTACCATCAACGATAGATTAAATTGGAGCAGTCACATTCAGAATATCAACAACAAAAATAGGAAATAGTGAGGTATTTTAAACTCGATAAGAAACAGCCTCACCACAGGGGCACTCAGATCATTATATTACTCATTAATATATCCATTGTTAACACTGCCATAATGTGTGGGGCGGGACTCAGGGAACAAAGTACTGCCACTCGTCATATCTCAAAAAGTCGTATAGTAGATACCTAATCTCAAAGGACTTGGTCACACTAATAATGCATTCAGGCACCAAAATATTTTAAAATTATATGACGTTTTGTGTACAGTACAGCGCCCTGTATATTTTTAAATCTTTACATGGCTATAACACTAACAATCAAAACTTTATTACACGTCTAAACGTGAATTTTCATTTACGGAACGAAAACTTACTTTGTCTGCCTCAGGCTTCGCAGGCGCCAATCCGCAATATCATACAGGGGTGCAAGCATAAGGAACCAGCTCCCCCTTCACATGAGAAAGGCAGTGTCGCTTCCTGTCTCTAAGAACTCTCTAAAATGGCATTTGTTAGCACAATTTAATCAGCCAGCGAGATCTTTAGAAAACCTAAGAAATTGTGTAGAATGCTACTCCATGGTGCTGTTACTATATCGAGTGCTTATCTGGTCTTCTTTCTGATTTAGTTTAGCTCGTATAGAATTAAGAATAATAGTAATTATATCTAGGATTGAAAGAATACATTTAATTTAGATAGATTGTTTGTTTGTTTTTTGTTTGTTTGTTTGTTCGTTTTCACTTATATGCTTTGATGTATTTCACGTTATTTGATTTTAATAATAATGAAAACTAACCCATTATATTTGTATTGTATTTGATTTTGCCAAAATTAACATGCAGTGTTATGTTGTTGTTAAGGTGCCTTTTAAGAGAGCATGATGCTCTTGGAAGGCTCAGCCAAATCCAATGTATTATTTTCTGTATAAAATTGAATTAAATTGATTATTTTACCCTCGAGAACTGTTGACAACAATACTGACAATGATATAGATGAAATTAATGATGGAAATGAATGGTTATAACAATGATGATAATAATGATAAAAATGTGAAAGTAATGATAATAACGGTAATAATAACAAAAAGACAGTAATACCAATATTGTTAAAATAATGCAAGTAATACTAATCCACTGAGGATGATGATTATGATAACAATAATAAGCATCTCTCATGATCGATATCGTTGTGACGACCATAATGGTAACATCATCAGAAACAATAATAATAGCAGTAAATGCAATAATGATAGCGATGGTAGTAAACAACAATAATAATGAATGGTAATATAATTATAAGGAAATAAACACCAACAATAATAATATAATTTAATCTTCTTTATGAACAACTTAAATTTACCCATGCTTACTATTCTTATTCTGATTATTATTATTATTCTCAGATATTTACGCAGACTATCGTACAGTATAAGTGAAATAATAAAGATCATAAACACTAAAGGAATTGCCATCCACGAAATCGACGAAGGAATAAGATCAGATACAGTTTCGAAGAAATTTAATTTTCTGTCATTTATTTTCAATCACTCGGAGAGAATTAAACGAAAATATTCGATCAGAGGATGTTATAATACACAACTGGACAACATTTGATCTCATTTGAAACGAATAACAAAATAACAAAGGAATCCAAAATAGTTTACGAGAAGATTATGACGAGTAACACCCAGACAGAATATATGATCAACCATTTTTTTCATTTTTGAGCGCTTGCTAAAATGATGATGATGATTATAATGACGATAATGATAATAATAATAATAATAATGATAATAACAGTAATAGTAATAATAACAATAATAATAGCACCTTAATTTTTGTAACTAGATTTTCTCCGAAAAACAATCTTATCGAAAGTGGCTGCTGATATCCCAGAGAATATCTTGGTCAAGATCATAAGACCGCATGAAAATAAGATATTTTTGGGAACTATATCGAGAACACAAAATCAATCTTTCTTTTAAATGGGACACCCACGCCCTCAAGCTAAGCAGGAGTACAGTCCAACGTGGATCAACTTGGACTCCGTGTGGAAAGAGGAATTCCCTTCGTGAAAATTGTTTATAGGTGATTTCGATGGATATTTCATGATTTGATTTTGCGGGAGAAATACTTACCGTAAAGAGAAGGAAGGAGTCGGAAGGAGAGAATCGATGAGGCAGGATGATACAAGGGAGCGTCGTAAGCAGAGTTCAGAGAAAACTAAACACATGCTGTGCTTGAAACCTTATCTAATCGCTACAGAGGAGGCTGCGCGGACCGGCCTCACAATCAGCCTAACGAAGTCTTGATTCTGCTTATTCCTTATCAATTCTTTCAAAATTTCATGGAGAATGTCAGATTCCTAACTAACTAACCTCAATGTTTTAATTAACAGACAGGAACGTTAATGAGTTCTTTGCCAGCCCCGTGCAGTAGAGAACCTACTATCTAACTGTTTTCGCCTAAAGGAAAAAGTATGAGTGGGAATGAATATCTTGACCGCTTTCGATTAAATCTTCGTCAGAAGTACATGTATTTCTGACGATGATGTTCATTCAGATAATCATTCTTATTCATACCTGTTCTGTATTTTCAACATGAATGCGTTGCATGCTCTCGCCTCTCGTCTTTTCCCGTGCATGCTCAGGGCCCAGAGTAATTTCTGTTCACTAGGCCTCGTGCTTGCTCTTGGTAAAGCAAAGTAAACAATATGTCTTAGCCCATGGGACTAATTTCACGTTCCTATTTTCATCTGAACTGCAAATATTCCATCAAATGTTATGCTAGTGACACAGTGCAATCAATACTTATCGCTGCTACCAATAATCCGGGCTTTGACATTGGCTGCCGACACTCGCACACACGCACAGTATAGTACTCGATTTGTAATTGTGTGTGTGTCTGTATATTTGAATATGTGTTCACACACACACACACACACACACACACACACACACACACACACACACACACACACATATATATATATATATATATATATATATATATATATATATATTTATATATATATGTATGTATATATGTGTGTGTGTGTGTGTGTGTGTGTGTGTGTGTGTGTGTGTGTGTGTGTGTATGTGCGTATGGCACACACACACACACACACACACACACACACACACACACACACACACACACACACACACACAGAAAGAGAGAGAGAGAGAGAGAGAGAGAGAGAGAGAGAGAGAGAGAGAGAGAGAGAGAGAGAAAGAGACCGAGGTGGCATGGCTCAGTGAGTGCCGGCTTTGCAATCGTAAGGTCCTGGGTTGGCGCCCGGCCGCCCCTCTCAGAAGAGTCAAATATAGCTGAGTACTGGCATGCATGTTGGGGTCAAAGTTGGGGTGGAAAGGAACTGGCCTCCCTACCGCATCATCTCGCGGCCCGGTAAGCATGTTCTCATCATGTCCCTAACATCCACTTGGATACGAAAGTATTTTTGGTTTTAATTGTTCGCATCAAATATCACTTAAGTGAAAGGGAAAAAAAATGATTTACCAAAGATAATTATGTATCAGATAAATGAATGGTAAAAAATAAAAACAATAAAATAAAATATATACACATACACACATCAATGCATATGATTAGTGAATTTCTGGTATTTAGAAAATGCAATAGCCCACTATTAACAATTCGTTCCATGACCTTGCATAAGCAACTTGTCAACGCAGTTGGGCGATAGGAGATGGCGGTTCTGGGATTCCTTTCCCTATCAGTAAGGGAATGATGTGGGCCGAGTGCATGAGTTGGCAAAGTCTGGCTCTTCCAAATTTCAATGCACACTTCTAGCAACTTAATCATGACATCATGATTAAGATGCTTTATCATCTCACATCGAATCTCATCGGGGCCTGGGGATGTTCCTCTACAGGCTTCTAGGATTCGGACGAGAAATTGTTAGATCTCGGTTGAAACCAGTCATCGCATGTGGCAAAGTGAGTAGGTTGCAATTCAGTCGCTTCCTTGGTGGTCAGTAATTGTCTGAGCTGCTTGTATAAGAGAACTGCCTGGCGAGTGCATTAGCAATGTCTCTAGGTGAATCGAAATTGTTTCCTTGATGAATAATATTTTCAATTTTGAAAGGCTTTTTCTTATTTATTTTATTGACAGTGAACCAAACCTGTGATATTGGTGTATTGCTATTTATTGTAGAGACAAAGCTCCGTCAGGAGTCTCTTTGTGCTTGTCTAATTGTTTTACGAGCCCTAGCTCTTGCTAGTTTGTAATTGCAAAAGTTCTCATTATTGATGTTATTTTTAAAAGCCTGTGGGCTATATTGCGTTGGCACAGCGCCGTCTGTCCACCATGGAATTTATTTAGAAGAGCAAAAAGCTCATCATAAATCACCCTGTTGTGAGGTGGACAATAAACTGAACATATAGTCATTGTCGAACACTGTTGATTTTTACTTCGCGACAAATTCATAGTAGAATCAACCGTCACTTCAGCGAAAGGGAGGTTTGGTGGATGTACATGGCGACTCCGCCTCCATCCCTACCCTCACGGTCCCGCCGACATAAATGGTAGTTCCTCAGCAAAACGACCTCATCTGATATGAGGCTGGTTAAATGCGTTTCTTGGAGAACTATAATATCGGGAGCATAGGACGTGGCTAATAATCTAAGGTCATATATTTTATTTCTAAGACTTGGTTAACGCGAAGATTACGTTTTACGCTGTTTGGAAGTGCCTTGTCCACTGGTTTTCTTTTTCTTTTTCTGGGAGGAAGGTTCGTCCTCCTCTGCCTCGCTGCCCAGGAGCCTCCCATGGGTATTTTTGGAGACAATAGCCTCCATGTCCTGTGTCTCGCTGTCAGGGAGACGCCCGGTAGAAGATGATCTGTTCCCAGAGACAGACCAGAAAGTAGGCGAATCCTAGCATGAGTCGCCTGGA